CATGCTCTTAATAAAGTCACAATAAATTGGAATAGACTCCATGGCAGCAGTGATTATTATTTTTTTTTTTTGTACCATGTGCCAGGCATCATTGTAGACACACTGGGATATATTGCTGGGCACAAAACAAAGTCTCTTAACCCTGTGGAGTATATGTTCCAGTCTGGGGAAGCAAACAGTAAACAATGGCCAGAATAAAGAAATGATATGGAATGACTAAAGTTGAAACATGACAAAAAAAAAGAAAAAAAAAAGCAAGATGCAGCAATGGTTGCAATTTTAGGCAGACTAGTTAGGATAGGGAGTTCTGGTAGAATAGTGCCTATGGCATTTGACTGCTAACCAGAAGGCTGGCGGTTCAAACCCACCAGCCATTCCTTGGAAGGAAGGTTGGGCAACCTACTTCGGTAGTGATACCACCTTGTAAACCCAAGGAGGGGTCGCTATGAGTTGGGTTAGACTCGACAACAGTGAGTGTAGTTTTTAGTTAGGATAAGTCTCTTGGAGAAGATGATAGTTGAACAGATTTGAAGAAGAGGAATTTGCCAAAGGAAATTGGCCAGAGGAGCCCTGTTGGTGCTAGTGGTTAAACTGTCACCTGCTAATCAAAATGTTGCCTTGGGGTATGAAACCACAAGGTGTTCCATGGGACAGAGATGTGGGTGTCTACTTCCATAAAGATTTACAACCTTGGAAACCCTGTGTTCAACAGAACGAAACACCGCCCGGTCCTGCACCAGCCTCACGATCCTTGCTGTACCTGAGCCCATTGTTGCAGCCACTGTGTCAGTCCATCTCGTTAAGGGCCTTCCCCTTTTTCGCTGACCCTCCACTTTACCAAGCATGAGATCCTCCAGGGAACAATCCCTTCTGACAATATGACCAAAGTAGGTAACACAAAGTCTGGCCATTCTCGCTTCCAAGGAGCACTCTAGCTGTGCTTCTTGCAGGGCTGATTTGTTAGTTTTTCTGGCAGTCCATGGTACGTTAAGTATTCTTCGCCAGCACCACATCTCAAAATTATCAGCTCTTCTTTGGTCTTCCTTATTCATTGTCCAGCTTTCACATGAATACGAGGCATTTGAAAATACTTGTGTTGGCTGCGCCTTAGTCTTCAAAGAGACATCTTTGCTCTTCAGCACTTTGAAGAGGTTTTCTGTAGCAGATTTGCCCAGTGCAATACATCTGATTTTTTGTCCACTGCTTCTTCCATAGGTGTTGATTGTGGAACTAAGTAATACGAAATCTTTGACATCTTCAATCTTATTTCCATTTATTTTGATGCTGTTTATTGGTCCATTTTTTGGTTTTTTGTTTTCTTTATGTTGAAGTGTAATTCATACTGAAGACTGTAGTCTTTGACCTTCATCAGTAAGTGCTCCAAGTCATCTTTACTTTCAGCAAGTGAAGCTGTAGTTGTGTCAGCTGCATTAATTACAGGTTGTTAATGAGTCCTCCTCTGATCCTGATGCCATGTTCTTCATATAGTCCATCTTCTTGGATTATTTGCTTAGCATACAGACTGAATAAGTATGGTGAAAGGCAACCCTGACACATTCGCTTCCTGATTTTAAACCATTCACTATCCCCTTGTTCTGTTTGAATGGCAGCTTCCTGGTCTATGTACATGTTCCTCATGAACACAATTAAGTGTTCTGGAATTTCCATTCTTCTCAGTGTTATCCATAATTTCTTATGATCCACATAGTTGAATGCTTTTGTGTAGTCAATAAAATACACGTAAGCATCTTTTTGGTATTCTGGTATTTGCTTTCAGCCAAGATCAATCTGACAGCAGCAGTGATATCCCTTGCTTCACATTCTCTTCTGAATCCAGCTTGCATTTCTGGAAGTTCCTGATCAATATACTGCTACAATCATTTTTGAATTATCTTCAGCAAGATTTTACTTGCATGTGATGTTAATAATATTATTTGATAATTTCCACATTCTGTTGGATCAGGAATAGGGTACCAAAAAATTGAGCAGTAGTTAGATAGCATTGCCTAGAAGTTTTCTGTTGCAGCAATAAAATCCTTGGCTGCTTACCAAAAGGTCAGTGGTTTGAACCCATCAGCTGCTCTATGGAAGAATGTTGGGCAGCCTGCTTTGGTAAAGATTTACAGCTTTGGAAACCCAGTAGGGGTTGCTGAGTCACAATTGACTCAATGCTATTGAGTTTGTTATTTTAGTAAGGTACCAAAACTGGTCCTGACCCATACCATCCACTGTGTCTAAACATAGATTGGAATCTAACCCATCCTGGGACCTGATGTATGGATGGATTAACTCCCAATAATTCCTCAATAGCACTTATTCTACCCATGTCTTGCTTTTCCCTAGACTTGAGGAATAATAGTATTAGCCCATGAATAAATACCCCTCCAGTGCTAACTCTAAGGAGGTCTGGTGGTGCAATGCTTGAGGTGTTTGACTGCTAACTAGAAACTTGGCTGTGCAAATCCACCAGCAGCTCCATGAAAGGAAGATGCGAAAATATACTTCCTTAAAGCTTTACCACCTTGCTGGTCACTATGAGTTGGAATCAATTAGATGGGACTGGTGGGTTGTTTTTTTTTTTTTTTTTTTTCCAGTTTAGGGCTGGCTCTAGAATTCTTAAACCTAGTTCATTTTGATGCAAATGAACACAATTTTGTAGTTTCTAAAACTGCTTTGGGGTATAAGAAAGCCAGTGACAACAGTCTCAAAAGTTGAAGGATAGTAAACTTTAAAAATGAAATAATAAAGGTAAAAGTTTCCTTTCAGCCCTCCTCTTTTTTTTCAAAAATGAATCTTTACAAGTTTATGGACATTTATCTATAGGCAACTGTTATTTTTTTTTCTTTTTTCTTTAACATTCAATAAAATAATACCTTTTTCATGCTGTCTCTTCAAGAACTGTGCTACACAGCATGCACAAGGAATATGACACTAATAATAGAGTTACAATTTTCAGGTGCTGTATAAGTAGTTAATAATATAAAATTAATAATATGCATAATCTTTTGCAGGAGAAAACTCTGTCTTCTAAATCTTCCAATTGTTCATTTGCAAAGCATGTAAGGAAGAAAGAATAGTGACATAGGGTGGTTGGAGATTTTGGGAAACAATGGAGGATCATGAGAATGCTGTAAAATATTATGTTAGGAAATTGTCAAGAAAATAGAAACCATTATAAAATCCTAAATTAATATTAACACAAAGCTTTATTTTTAATGCAAGACTATTTACAATGATATAATTTATAATGATATATATATATATATATATATATATATATATATATATGTATATGTATGTATATGGCGTAATTCTAAATACACACACACACATATGACATATGGGAGCTCTGGTAGCGTAGTGCCTAAGGCGCTTGACAGCTAACCAGAAGGCTGGCAGTTCAAATCCACCAGCCACTCCTTGGAAGGAAGGTTAGGCAATCTACTTCCGTAGTGATACTGTCTCGGAAACCCAAGGAGGGGTCACTATGAGTCAGCTCTGACTCCGTGGCACATAACAACAACAGCAATATATATATATACACATATATATATGTACATAGCTCTGGTGGCGTAGTGCCTAAGGCATTTGACTTCTAACCAGAAGGCTGGTGGTTCAAACCCACCAGCCACTCCTCAGAAGGAAGATTGGGCAGTCTACTTCAGTAGAGATACTGCCTCAGAAGCCCAAGGAGGAGTGGCTATGAGTTGGGACAAACTCAACAGCAGTGAGTTTGGTTGTTTTTTTTTTTTTAAGTTTCTCTGTACCTCTCAAAGGCTTTTGGAAGAGTGGGTTCTTGAAAAAAGATAGAGATTCATCAGTCCTTGTTGACATATTAGGCAGAGATACATAGGTAAGGGCCCTATCAGAGCACCTAGGTCTCTGGAAGGGTTCAGCTATGATCTATGATGTGCCACTTTTCTGTCCAGATGTCAGTGTGGTATCAGCAGAGAAAGAAAAAATTTTCACATTGGAAATATATTGCATCTTGGTATCTACTTCATGTAGTAATCTAAGTATCTTATATCCCATGATTTTGCAATGTTATTTTACCATACAGGATGTAGTTTTGCACAAAGAATTTATATCTTGAAACATACATTAAGGGTCTAATTTGAAGTATTAGAACTTTCTTTATGTTGCATATGTGGACCATAAGAACATGACTCAAAATGGTGTTATAAACTTTCTGGATACACATACACACACACATACATACACACATATGTCAAAACCCACTGCCAATGAATCGATTCCATTGGGTTTCTAAAGCTGTAAATCTTTAAGGAATAGACTGTCCCATCTTCCTTCCATAGAGCAGCCAGTGGATTTGAATTGTTGACCTTGTGGTTAGCAGCCAAATGCCTTACCCACTATGCCACCAGAGCTCCTTTTATATGTATGTATATATAAACATGTTTATAATTAAAAAAGCATATACATTTGTTTAATATTTGCATATATACATATATATATATA